CTTTATATCAGCAGTAACTCTCATTTCAAAGCACTGTACATGCAGCAAGATCCATCATTAACAATGAGTGGTTGTAAATTCTTATTTCAAGCAGTCTTGACAATTTCTTATTTTTTTGCTGATTTCTTGCAGATGTAAGTGGTCATCTTATATATGTCATATGTATGATATATACACATACATGCACTTTTTACCATATAACTGATAAAGAGCTTATATTAGGAGTAGAAGATTCCATTCCATATATTCTTCTTGTTTGTTAGTATTTGTATAGTTAGAATTATCTTCAATTCACTGCTCCCTCACAGGAATTTTTAAAGTCCCTTTCCATTTTGTGAATTTAAGTGAAAGTAGATAATATAATTTGTTACTTCATTTGATGGGCTTGTAAGCACAATTTGCTGAAAGTGAACAAATAAGTGAGCCATTGTCAATCTCTCCACAAGTATGAATTCCCTCTGTCCCCTTAGGATTCCCCTCCAAGTGTACTTGACATGACTGTACATATAGACCAAGGTAGTGTACTAAAGGTAGTCCTTATATTAAATATCAATAAAGCCTTATTTTATTGTAGTTAGGAATTAACTATAAATAGAAGTTTTAGTACTTTGTTCTAACTATCCAGCATCTTGTCTTGTGAATACCTTCCTCCTTTGAAAACCTATACTTTAGATAAGGTAGAGGAGAAAGAAGATGAGTCAAAGATTAGCTGGAATGATTTGAAAGATAGTGGTGCCAATGAACTAAACATAACAAAATGAATGGTTTTGGAAAGAAAATAAAACTTGTTTCCAACACATTGAGTCTGAGGTACTAAGAGCATTGATGCTGTCCCTGAGGTATGTGAAAAAGGTCTGGAGTGCATGAGAGGAATCCAGGTTACGTGCGTGGATCAGGAGTGATAGTTGAAGCCAACTTGTAATTTAGGTTTCCTAAGAAGAGAAACAGATAAACAAGAGAAACTTGAAAGCGCTTTCATAAAAGGGGTTTGAAAATGCAAGAGGAATCTTCTTGGAAATGCATGGGAAAGGTCAGAGGAGAGCCAGAAGGATGTAGTTTAATGAAAGTCAAAAGAGAAGATTTGAAGAAAGCAAATATTTTAACAATGCTATACAGTCAAGAAAGATAAAGCTTAGATAAAGACATTGAATTTGGTAATTTAGGATGTGGTTGACATTAGAAAGAGTGGTTTAAGTAAAGTAGTAGAAACAGAAGTCAGTTTTCAAACGTTTAAAGAACCAATAAGGGCCGGGCAGCGGTGGCTCATGCCTGCAATCCTAGCACTTTGGGAGGCCGAGGCAGGAGGATCGCTTGAGCTCAGAAGTTCAAGACCAGCCTGAGCAAGAGCGAGACCCCGTCTCTACCAAAAATAGAAAGAAATTATCTGGACAACTAAAAATATATATATATAGAAAAAATTAGCCGGGCATGGTGGCGCATGCCTGTAGTCCCAGCTACTCGGGAGGCTGAGGCAGTAGGATCGCTTGAGCCCAGGAGTTTGAGGTTGCTGTGAGCAAGGCTGAAGCCACGGCACTCTGGCCCGGACAACAGAGTGAGACCCTGTCTCAGAAAATAAATAAATAAATAAATAAATAAATAATAAGTAGTCAAAAAAAAAAAAGAACTGAGAACATTATTCATATACTGTTCCTTCAAGAAGTTCGACTGCGAAGGAAGAAGAGAGATGGTGTGGTGTATTAAAAACGTACTTTAAGAAAGGATGCATTTGGCAAACAGTGAAGAGGGATAAATTCAAGGTAGAAATTAGAAATAAGGAAGGGAAACTTACGAGACCAGATTCTCAAATGAAATGATATTGATACAATCGTGAACACAGATGAAAAGCGACAGCTTTGGGAAAGTGGAGGAAGAATTTTTCTTTGAGTCAGAAGGGAAGGGATAAAGTGTGGTTTTTTGTTTTAAAGTAATGCAGTGATTCAAAGAGTTTCTATCAGATGGTTTCTCTCTCTCTCTCTCTCTCTCTCTCTCTTAATTTGGATATTAGGAGGTGAGGTAACCTGTTAAGCATTTGTGAATATTCTGGATAGCTTAGGGGTAGGCAAGTAAACATGGAGCCACTGACTAGTTTTTATGAGAAAATTATAACCCACATTCAAGTTTAAGAAAATTCCTTCTGATAAGAGGTACGACAGAATGGCAGTAGGACTGGATTTTTGAATGACCTGAGGAAGATGATGAATAAGAAATGCAGGCAAGAAATTATGCCTTAACCAAGGTAACAGCAATTGGATAGAGAGGGGGCAACATGTTTGAGAGTTATTTAGAGTGGAGCAAGGGTAACTCAAACACTTGCTTGGATAACTGGACTTACAGTAAAAAGATGAGGCATAAAGGTCAAAAGTAGATGAAGGAAAGGAGGGAAGGTGATGAGTTTGTTTTGGAAATGGTAAGTATTAGGTACATGAAGGATATCCTAGTAGAAAGATCCAGTAGGCAAATGGTTCTACAATGTGGAGGTAAATATGGACTGATATAATCAGGTGTGTGTGTGTGTGTGTGTGTGTGTGTGTGTGTGTGTATAGAAAATAATTGATCCCATGGGAGTGATGGGACCACTAATTGATCTCTAAGTGATTCTAAGATCACTTAAAAACAGCCAGAAGTGGGCTGACAACAGACCTTTGGTTAATACCATTATTTAAAGAAAGGACCAAGAGAGCGTCTAGAGAGAAATGAAGGAAAACTTGATGGATGAATACCAAATAAGGAAGAATGGTCGACAGTGTAAGATACCACAAAATGGTTCAGGAAGATAAGGAATATAAAGTGTCCCTTGGATTTAACAAGAGGTCATTCTACACAGCCTTGATGAAGAACAATGCAATGTGCTGAGGAGAGAATGGTAATTGAGCAAGTGAAGACAGCAAGTCACCACTATTTCTGGTTGCTTGTCAGAGGAGGAAAGAGACAAAGATGTAAACACACAGGAACATAGAGTTTATGGATGTTTTTCATTAAAAAGAGAAACTTATTGGTGGAAAGCAAACAGCCAGGAGAGAGGAAGAGTTGGAGGACACAGAAAGGAATTAGGTGGGCGGCATTACCTAATCACTGTTGGAGCCATCAACGCTCTCAAGAAGGGGGACAGGAAGAGATTCAGAGTAGAAGTAGAGGGATTAGCTTTAAACTAGAGGGGAAAAAAGAGGTTTGCAAGCTATTTACAGTATTTCAGAAAGCCTTCTGGAAATTGCAATTAAATAAAATGTCAAGTTTCTTTACTTTTGGCAGGCATTAAATCAACTCTGTGGGCTAACACTGGTTATTGAATGCTGATCAGAAATTCTAATTTGCTCTTGATGACATCACAGCAATGTCTAGGATGTGATTAGCGGACCATATATTGTTAGTGAAGTTATTTATCTGGTTTTTACAATATCTGATTTAATTCTTCCAGCATGTGATCAACCTTGGATCAGAATGACAGCCAAAATTAAACGACCATTTGCAGGGAACAGTGCCTAAGTGTTTGTACACTTATTTAACTTTATTGCTTATTAGCATTACATCCATGACAGTGATATATGTGATTTCATTTAAGTGACAAAATCTTTCAAGATATGAGGTCCATGGATGAAAACATAATAAAGAGTCCCTTGGATGAAAAGAATGGGAATGACTAGAGAAGATCTCTACAGCCCCTTCATATCTAACATTCTATAATTTTAAGAGGGGCTTATAAGCACAAGTTCAGGAATGGCTAAATGGGAAAGAATACTTGACCACACCCCAACTAACCAATGATTCATTCTAAACGAGGCAAGGCAAGTAGAATGGCAAGCAAAGTAAATATGTAAATAACTATGCCCATCTGGAAGGTAGCATAAGAAAGACTAAAAAAAAAAAAAAAAAAAAACTGAGTAGGAATAACAGGTGCTTTTCTAAGGAATAAGGAAAAAGAGTACTCACTTTATTGATAATCACAAAACATTAACCAACTTTAATAGCAGGCATGATTGTCATAAGCACACTTCTAAAAATTTTTCAGTGCATTCACCTAACCAATCTTCGTGTAAATGCAAATCGGTCAGGTTCTTTTCTCACCAACACCTACACTAATTTAGGTTCTTTCTGTCCCTTCCATTCCGTACTTTGGTGTACCTTCGCACATCGGAACTGGGCAAACCGAAAACATTAAAAGAAAAAAAGTTTCAAGAGAAACGGACCAAGCATTGGGTTAAGTGTCAAGACTGGTTTCGTTCGTTGGTTGGGTGCTGAGACTACCAGCAATCTCAACAGCTGGCCAGCACCTGGGAGCAGCCAGATTGACCTGACGGGTCACGGCTGGCCTGACAATAAACCCGGTGACGCTGGGGTGGCCTTAGCATCCCGCTGGGCGGGTTCAAGGAGCAGAAGGCTCAGTAAAGGGAGTGTTGGGGAAGGCGGGAGTGGGGCAATGTGTACTTTTCTCCCGGAACTGTAGTTCTATTATCCCAACCTGGGCTCAGGTAGCGGCTAGTAAACCAGGAGACAGCCCTAGGGCTCGCGTCCCGGCCAGGCTGGAATCCCTGGTCCCCTCTCCCTACACTCCCATGTCTCTGCCGCCGCCGCCGCCGCCGCCGCCGCCACCGCCCGCCGGCACCCGTGACCCGGTGACCCCAGAGGGCTGGCTGGGGCCCGTGACCCCGGAGCACTGGGCATCCGGACCCCCCTCGCAGGCGCAGCCGCTATTAAGGCAGGAGGCTAAAGAGGAGGAGGAAGGGGAGGAGACAGGCGTCCAGGGCGCCTGGGGAACCGGCACGGCGGAGCAGCGGCGGCGGGGCTGGGGGGAGGCCGCCGAGTCGGCCCCGGCCGAGGAGGGGCAGGCGGAGGCCGGGGGCTCCGCGGCCGTAGGGTCAGGGTGCCCTTCGGGAGGCGCGGGTGGCGGCCGCGGGGGCTGGCGGCGGCTCCTCGCCTGGCTGCAGCGGCGGCAGCCCCAGTGCTGCCCCTGTGCGGCGCCCCTTCCCCGCTCCGCCGCGCACTGTTGTCATGGAGGAACCAAGATGGCGGCTCTGGCCTACAACATGGGCAAGCGGGAGATCAACCACTACTTCAGCGTGAGGAGCGCCAAGGTGCTAGCGCTGGTGGCCGTGCTGCTGCTTGCAGCGTGCCACCTCGCCTCCCGCCGCTACCGAGGTGAGCGGGCCCTCCCCCCTGCCCGGGCCAGCCGGGGGGAGGCGGCGACGCGGAGGCTGGAGGCCGCCCCTCTCGCCCAACACACGCCCACGCCCACGCGGCCTCCCTCCCGGCCGGCGGGGGAGGCGGTGCCCCCACGTGCCCCCAGCAGCGGGCTGGTGCCCCAGGCCAACAAAGCGGACCCCAGTTGCGGGCTGCCACAGGACAAGGGCCAGTGGTTCTGGGCCCCCCCCGCGCCAGCCTGAGCTGAGGTCGGAGGTGCCAACCTCGGGCCTGGCCCAGGGGGCTGCCGGGGTCTGGCTCCTGCGCGATCTGGGCTCGGGGAGACGCTCCAGACCTGGGGCTCTAGTGCAGGAGGTCGGACAGCCCTCGGGGGCAGCCCCCGGCGCGTGAAGGCGAAGGTCGCCCTGCAAGGGGCACCTCTGCTAGGAGTGGGGTCGCAGATCCTGCTTCTAAGGGTCCGAATCTTTAGCCTTTGTTTAATCCGGCCTCTGCCCTGTAACAGCAGGGCTAGGCTGTTGGACAGCGGCAGGGGCCGCCCCATTTTCCTTTGCCAAAAGGGCGACAGCTGGCAAAAGATGCCTGTGGCCAATGGAGGAGGTGCCACCCAGCCTTTGTGATTCAGAAACATTTAAAGGGTTCGGGTTGCACACTTTTTACAAAGTAAAGGCACTGGGGCAGATTTTTGAAAAGAAGTTATGGGTTGACAGGAGTAAAGGTCGGTGGTGAAATCAAGTTGTAAACTCTTTGAAGCAGGCCCTTAGCTATGAGTTTTGAAATTGGTGTAAAGGAAAAAGGAAATACGACCTTCTTATTTCAGAACGAATTATCTTTCAGTAATCATGGGATATTTACTTGTCCTTGTTGATTGATTTTTTTTCCCTCTGTAAAAATGTCTGGCAGGAGGAGGGAGATTAATAATGATAGGATCTTTTATTTTTTGGCTCTTAATACTATCAAAGCCATTATCTGGACAGATCTTGGTGACTGTGAGATTAATTAGTCAAGATGTAATGTGTAATGGACAGGTGCACATTAACGCTGTGCCCATTTAACTTCACACCCACTTTGGCAAAATATCCAGTAAACCTGGTCCTGGAATCTGAGCTGCCTTCTCATCCTGAGAGATCTTTCAAAGTATAGGACATTTTGATCAATTATGCTGCTTTATTTCCTCCAACTCCTGAGGATTAAAAATCTTATACCCTAGTACCATACTGGATGAACAGCTCTTCAGATTAAATATACAAAATTGATACAAAAAGAGTATATTCTTTTGGCCTCCCTCCTCCAGGCACCTCCAGATCACAGCCCTGTGACATAGCAGGGCCTTGGTTCATCTGCAATCACTGTGCTAGAAGTCCAGCATTTTCTTTGAAGTGCAAAATAAAAGTAGCGATATTGATGCATTGATTTGTGGTAATTTTGAGGAAATATTTCTTTTAACTACTATTAATCATTTTATGTGAATTTGGTATGACAGTAACCTTACTCAATTTTGTGTATGTGATAGTAGTAGAGACAAATTTTATAACTGTAGTACTACTGTCCTAAAAGTTAACATCTAAGCCCCCCTCCTTTTCTTGATTGTACTTTTTCTCTTTTGATAAGCTTGGAATACTAATTTTTATGTTTAGAGTATATATTTCATCTTATCAAGATGTGTCATCAGCAGGGAGAATAGAATGTCAGATGGGACCTTATGAGTCAGCGTGGCAATCTGGGATTGTTTGTAAAGCCTCCTCCAGAAGCCAGTCATCAGTTTCCATAGGTGCTTCAGTGCCTTAAGTGTGAAGCAGTACACCTGGTGTTTATACTTGCCCAGACTGAATGTCAAGAACTTGAGCCAAAGACTAGGAAAAATAAATGTCTTAACAGGAACATTTTAGCCATCCTCATGCGTTGGCAGTGTCAAACTGAGTCAGGTGCAATGCTCTTCACACGAGGATAACCATACATTTGAATCACATCATAAATCTTTAGAATAACAAAGGGCCTTATATTAGATGAAGAGGTTTAGGATGTGTGGGTATGGGTCTGTTTCAGGCAGGTTAAAGTGAATGTAGTTTGAATATACATACTCAGTATCTCTTTCTTTACAAACTATGGAAAGTAAAAGAAAAAATTATACACCACAGAAAGTAAAGCTTGGTAGATACTGTGTGCCAACACTGAACACTTACTATATGCCAGGAATTGTTCTACTAAGGGTTTTACATGTTTTAATTCATTTTGTCTGTACAGCCTTTCTGTGAGGTAGATACAATTAGCATATTTCATCCCTCACCCCCCATTTTTAACATCTCTGTAATCAGGATGAGTCTTTAAAACTTTGATTGCATGTCAAAGTTTAATTGGTAACATTTTTTCTTACTATGACATAAAATGATGATGTGTCTTACAATCAATGGTTTTAGATTGAGTGAATTACTGTATTATTTACATTTTAAAGATGAGACTTGAGAGGTTAAGTAAATTGCCTAAGGATTCACCACTAGTCAGTGAGTGGGCTAGGATTTAGAACACAGTTAGTGTGCCTCATGTTATATTCTGCCTTTCTCAGAGCTTCTTAGCTAGACAGTGAAAATGAATAGAAGATGGGATGAGAAAGCATTTTCCAGGGAGCCATGGGTTAAACAATTTAGCAACACTAATTCAACCTCAAAGTACTAGCCTAGAGTTTTCCTTCCCAGCTAAGAGGTTAATTTTTTTAAAAGTTGTATGTATAAAACTTCAAAATCTGGCCTGAGCCTACTTTTTGTTACCGTTGTTTTTTCCTTATTTTTCCTAAACTCCAGGCTCACAGTCTAAACATGCTTTGCCCTTTTACACATGGCGCAGATACCTGATTTTCTCTTCCTGCAATGACCTCTCTCCCCTTGAAAGAAAGTACAGGTTTTTCAAGGCCTGGTTCAAATGTCACCACTACAGAAGTAGGAATTAGGAATTCAGTTCTGCCATGCAACTTGTACATACTTTTCATGTTGTATTGTAATAATTGGTATCTACCTCCCCACGCAAACTGTGAGCTTCCAGGAGCATCTTATTCATCTTTAAATCATTAGAGCCTAACACACAGTAGGAACTCCGTGAATAACTATGGATAACTAGATTTTCAAAGTTCTTATTTTCTCCCACTTTCCTCCCTGCATTTGGTTCTTTTGTGGCTTTAATTGAATTTCATGTTCTAGTCTCTATTTTAGAAAGTAGGGGTTTTTTTTGCATTATTAATATTATCTTCACATAATATAGTAGAATGACATTTTAAAAGTAATTACTCTCAACTATATTTTTTCTAAATTTTATAGATCTCTAACATTACTGAATCACAAAATGTCTATTAATAATGTGATTACAGATTAAAAACATCATTTCTGTGACAAGAGGCCAGTTATCTGTAGCCTTAAGGATAGTTCCAATCTGGATAAATTTTAATTTTTTAAATTGATAAAGTTAACTTAATTCAAATGCCTTAATTTTGTTGAAATTGAATTCCTTTTTTTTTTGTCACTAAGCATATTAAATGCCAGTGTTAAATGTTATTGCATGTTTTGGAGGAAGGTAAGTTGAAAAGCTTCAGAAATTAAAGCAAGAAAGATGCAGGGCTAGGTCTCAGCCTTTTCTTCTTTTGACTGTTAGAAAGATCCCGATTTATATGACATCACTTATAGTGATACATTCCTAGCTTGTCTAAAGAAAAAGTTTAATGGTGATTTTCAGCACAGGCTAAAGTATAATTTGCTGAATTTTAGACAAACAAAATATTCTGCAGACTATATTCCAAACTTTATGATCTGGTATTTCATGGTTGGTAGTAGGAAACACACAGCTTTAGTAGAATGACTCATTGTAAAGGTGCAGTGTGCCAGAGGTATTCTGTTCAAGGGAAAATGTATGTTGTGGTTTATTTAGGACATCGGATGTTTTCTTTAGTTGTTAAATTTTGTTTTTCAGCTTGTTTTTATTTGTTTATTTTATTTGCTTTTAGGTATCTTTCTATTATAGAAAAATCATACATAGAAACCTGAGACTGTAGACTGAGAAACTAGAATGCTTATACTTATAACAGAATAAAGAGGAAGACAGTGAGCCATTCATCTACATAATCTTAGTGTTGGAGATAGCTGAAGTAGAAAATTCTATCCCTTTAGTTGCTTTTTTTTTTATTGTGTTCCTCACTTGATTTATCTGAACACTTGGCAACTTTCATCTCATGTTGGTTGTATTAAAGTAGCTATCAAAATTATACTAGGCAATTGAAAATAATGACTGTTTTTGTTTTGTTTTGTTTTTGGTAAATTTGGAAAGGAAAATATGTGCCAGCAGATATTTATGTATAGTTAGTATAAATAAAAGTGTGATACGTTAT